AATGGTGGTTGACAGGCACCAGAGGGAGAAGGTGAAGGGGACTTACTGTTTAACTGGTCTGGAATGTCAGTTTTGCAAAACGAAAGGAGTCCTGGAGTTGGATCTGGTGATGGGGACACATCAACATAATCATACTCAATGTCACTGTGCACACACCTAAAAATGGCTTAAATGGCAAGTTTTATGTATTTTTGCCAGGTGTTTATCAAAGATCACAAGGATGCCTTTCTGATAAGAGCAGGCATTGATGTAAGTGAAATCATGTCATTAAGTGTCACGTGGAGAGCTTGCATAGTCCTAGAGATGAGTCCATTTGGATGATCTAGAGTTAAGTAATATACATGGTGTTTCCTAACAGAAGGAACAGGATCTAAAGGAAACAGCATCCAAACAAGAGCAGCAATGGAGCTCCAGCAACAGAAACAGGGCCTCCACCTCTTCCAGGCCTTGGAAAGAGGCGCACAGTATCCTCAGGTAGAAACAAGTCTCGGTCACACCCCAACCTGCAGACCCAAGTATGCAATTCTCACTCATATTCCTTTCAACCTTGATAAGCCCCATCAATCCAAGGCACCATGAAATGGGGCCTAGAGCAGCTGATGGAAGACATGGACAGAGGCAAACTAATCTGGTCCCAAACTAAGTGTCCTTGGCTTAGGTCTTCCTAGCACGTCTTTCTGGACTACAGTGTAGAACTGATGTTGCTTAAGATGACAACCTGCAGATGCAAAGGACTCCGCTTTCTCTTTACTTGTAGACTTGGTCTGTGGATACATTTCCAAAGTCAGAACTGAGAAATGCCTGCGGAGGAATGAACTAGGGCTTCTACAGTCACCTGGGAAATGCATTCTCTCCAAAGGCTCAGAAAAGTCCTGCAGCACAGAAACCGGAATCCCAACTTTCTCAGCTTCACATCCAGTGGTGTGAAGTTGGTATGTGCCAACTTTTTTTGTTGGTATGTATCTATTTTTCTGTTGGCATGTGCCTAGCTCCTCTGCTTCTTGATGTCTATGTTTTTTTAAAAAAGACTGTTTTTCTATTTTTCAGTTGTAGATAGACACAATATCATTCATTTTACCCATTTTTATGTGGTGCTAAGGATTGAACCCAGTGACTCACACATGCTAGGCAAATGCTCTACCATTGAGCCACAACCCCAGCCCCTTGTTTGTCTATTTTTTTTAATATTTTTTTAGTTGTAGATAGACAGAATATCTTTATTTTCATTTTATTTTATTTTTATGTGGTGCTGAGGATTGAACCCGTTGCCTCACTCATGCTAGGCAATGCTCTACCACTGAGCCACAATCCAAGCCCTTGCTGTCAATTCTTTTCAGTACCACCCAATCTTGAAATCTTAAGAGCTTTTGTTGTTGTTGTTTTGTTGTTGTTGTTGTTTCTCCCTCTCTCAACGCATTTTGCCAGTTAGCAAGACTGTGAATTCAGCCCTTTTTAAAATCTTATTTAGAAACAGGCTCACATTGGGTTGCTTAGGGCCTTACTAAGTTGCTGAGGCTGGATTTGAACTCATGATTCTCCTGCCTCAGCCTCCTGAGCCACTGGTATTACAGGTATGCACCACGCACCAAACTCAAATGCTAATTCATAAAATGATTGAGCTTTTTTTTTTTTTAATTCCTCAGGAATCACATGATTCTTCATAAAATCAGCTTTGATTAGTGTCAAGGGTTTCAATACAGTTGGTTGTTTATTAATGTCACGAAAGTATTATAGCCTTGAATATCAACCTGCCTTGTCTCTGTAGTTTATGTGAGGATTTAACACAATGCTTTATAAATAAGAATCATTCCATACATGTCTGTTGAATTAAGAAATAACATTTAGCCTTGTGTATACACCATCAAATGCCCAAACTTCAATGATATTCTCATGACAGTGATAGTCAATTTTCTCTTTCTTGCACCCCAGATCCTTTTTACTAATGATTTTTGTCTTATACACAGATTTTAACATGTACACATAGGTGGCACCTCATTTTATATACATTTATTTTAAATTAAACTGTATAGTATTTCTTATTATTAAGTGAACTACTGAGAATAGTAGGCTGTTTTGATAAATATAAAATATAAAGTAGAGGGTTGGGAGTGGAATTTGCAGCCACTCCTATATTGTAAATTTATTATTTCTGACATGGTTTCATACAACAGAGAAAAATCCTAATTCACAGAGAAACATCAAAAGTATGCATTTTATGTTAGTACATTGGTAAGGCAATGAATTTCAGAGCAGGTACCAGGGATGGAACTCAGGGGTACTTGGCCACTGAATCATATCTCCAGCCCTATTTTGTATTTCATTTGGAGACAGGGTCTCATTGAGTTGCTTAGTGCCTTGCTTTTGCTGAGGCTGGCTTTGAACTCATGATCTTCCTGCTCAGCCTCCCAAGCTGCTGGAATTACAGACATGTGCCAACATGCATGGCTCATTTATTTTAAGCTCAAATACAACAAGTTATACCAGTGATACCTAAGAAATGCCATTAGTAGAAATTAAAAACACAGGTTCTGATTTGAATCCTGGCTCCACTATTTGACAGCACAGATCTTCAGCAAGTTATCCAGCCTCAGTTTCTTCATCTGTGAATTGGAAGTGATAATAGTGCTTCCCTGATAAGGTAGAAGAACAAGATTGGTGGCATAAGTGATTGACTCAGTGATCTCCATTCTACCAAAATGCTGTCTATAATGCATAGGAGAGAACATTCATTCACTACCATCCATGCAGACTCTGACCATGGAGCCTTTGAGAACTAGCCCTGTGCGGCCTTGAAGAAAGACAAACAGGACACTTCACTCCAGTATTGTTCTGAGGTCCTCAACAACCATCAACTCCCAAGGAACCACAGGAAAATTCAAAACTTTTCTGTCTCCACCCCAGGCTCTTCCTCACCGAGGCTTCCTCTGAGACATGGCTCTAAGGAACCACACAGGAGTCCACGGGAATCCATGGCCTTGCCTGCAAGCAGTCCAGAGAGCAGTCTGGTGGAAAGCCCTCGACTTGAGCAGCCTGTCACTCCCATAATTATTCCCTGTCCTTGGAGGCCAACATAAACAGAGCATCTTTCTCAAGCAGCTCCCACAATGCACAAACCTTAGAACTTCACACAGGCAGCCAAGCCCTAGAGGGTGCTAAAGGGTCAGAGGGTTTGTGTGGCCAGCAGTCCAGTCCCCAAGGGACAGTCCCAGTTGCTTTCTAGTTCACAATCCCCATCCAACAGATATTGCCTGCGCTCCAACTGTCTCTACGGCCTAATTCCTGGAACTGGCCTGGACGCTGTGGGTAGGACTCTAAGATGGGCCACCAGATCAGAGAGCAATCTCATGCCCAAGGCACTCTGGGAAAAGGCAGGAGGTGGGGCATGGGGGAACTAAAGATGGTTCCTCAAGGGTCACATTTGATTTTGTGAACTTTATTATTATTATTTTAGTGTTTACTGAAATGCTAGTCCTGGTAGACACTGGCAGTGTGGAAGAGCTGGTATGGTTCTAGAAAACAATAGCAAGAAAAACAGCAAGACCCCTATTCTCCTGGAGCTTATGTTTTCGAGGGGATGGGACAATGGCAATAATTAAACCAAGGTTATCTCCAATCATAGCTGGTGCTTTGAAGAAAATAAAACACTGTCATTGCATAGATGTCAGGGAAGTTGACATTTGAGCTGAGATCTGAATATGGAGGAGGAAGCAATTCAAAGGCAAGGGAAAAGCATTCTAGACAAAAGGGAACAGAAGCACAAGACCCTGAGATCTCAGCTTAAACGCTGATTAAGGGTTTAAAAAAGTTTTCATGAAAACTTCATGTCCTCAAAATTCTAGTACAAGGTAGAGTAAGAGTAATTTTTTTTTTTAAGATTGTAAAGATCAAAGGGCTACATTGGAAAGAAATTTCCCCTTGGCTTTAAACAAAGATGCAATAAGAGTGTGCGTGAATATATATTTACATGTCTCATAAGGGTCTTTTTAGAAAGCCTTTCATGTCTTTTATCCTTTAAACTTTTATAATATAGGTTGAAAGCCTGATACAATCTTAAACTTCCAGTTCATGTATTGAGATCTTTTCCTTAGAACTAATGAACACTTCCCCTGTGGGGTGTAATTTACCTCCCTTGTTCCAGAATGAGAATGTGGTGTACTTCTAATTGCAACTATGTAAAAATATGTGTGCCCATGGATTAAGGAGGTGGGAGTATAGGAAGGAGCCGCAGTTGTTTTTCTATATTCCTTTTTGTGTGTGTGTGATTAAAACTGGGAAGAAAAGAATACATTGTGCACAACTGTGCAGTCTCCTTGTCCCCGATTTTAATAAATGTGTTTTTAACTGCTATTTATATCCCATTTCTAACATCACTACAACCTACATCCTCTCCAGGCTACAATTAAACTTGAAAAGTGCACGAGGCTTTACAAGCCTTTGTACAGGGAATGCGTCTGCGCACGTACGGCCCACGTGCACCCTTCTTTCTCTCTATGGACACAAGTTCTTGGGGATCCTTCAGGCCCCTGGCCATATTTCTCCCCAGGCTCTTATTAAAACCAGGTGCACGGAAGGCGGGCCTTTCTCGGGACAGAAAAACCTCCTGTTGACCCAAAGCTCCCCCTTCCGGTGTGTTTTCTAGAGGCAAAGGAGAAAGTGGGCAGCTGCCCAGGCCCAGGCTGTGTAAGGCCTAAAAGGGCACCAAGTGAGAATGGGGACAAGGGACACTTCCGCCCTCTGTCATGCAGGAGCGGTGTCCACGCACACTGCGCGACCTCCCACCACCACCACCTCCGCCCCAAGACCACTCTTTCCAGATCCGAAAGTGGGGAGGGCTGGGGAAGCCGCAAGGTCGCCGCCATCTGAACTTGAAACCTGGCGGCTCTGACACTGCAGCCTGCGCCCCAGGCACGTGGGGTCCCGGTAGGAGCCCCGATTTCTGGCCATCGCCCCCGCGGGCTGGTGCCGGGTTCCAGAAAGCCTGGGGGCCCGGCAGCGCTTACCCTCAGCGGCCCAAGTCGCTCGCGCCTCCGGGGACAGGGCGGGCCGGTAGGGTCAGGTCGCGAGTGACCGAGTGACGTGGCGTTCCTGGCAGCCCCGCGCTCCGCCTGCCGAGGCTCCCCGTCTGTCGCGCGCCCCCGAACTCGGATCTCGGGAGCTGGGCGGGGGCGCCTGGCTCAGAGCCCCGGGAGCTTCGTTATCCGCGACCTTTGATCCCGGAGAGCAGCACTCCTCTCTGCAACCGGTGGCCTGACGGGGGCAGAAGTGGGAGGTAGTTGGTCTATTTTGCAGCAAGGATGGCGCCCCCTGAATTCATGACAGCTGAGAGAGCACTCCCCCCACCCCACACCCCCATGGGCTGAACCCGAACTCTCTAGGTTGAGGGCTCTGCCTATGTGTTTGGGTCAAAGATTTGAGTATTTGTGTCTTTAATTGGACTCCAGAATTAGTCAAAGTAGGGAAAAGGGCATCAGAAGGAGGAGTGTTAGGGGGCAGAAAGTTAGGGCATCAGGGCTCACAGAGGAACCGGGATCCCACAAAAATATGCTTCTAAATGCTAAGTGTCCGGTTCCTGTTCCTTGAGCCAAAGAGCAGAGCCAGCCTGTTTTCCCATTTTCCCTAATTACAGATTTTAAAAGCCCATCCCCAGGCTTTTCATAGCCTTCAGCCTGACAGCCCCTGCTTTCTAAAAGGGTTACATGAAATTTACCCCAAGGAAAGAGACCAGAAAGGATGTCCCAGAAGTTTGTGGGTCACAGAGCCCATCTTCTGGGCTTGGTGCCCTGCTTGATAATTAAAAGCTGTTCTCAGGCCAGAGGTTGTGGCTCCTGCTTGGAATCCCAGCCACTGGGGAGGCTGAGGCAGGAGAATTGCAAGTTTGAAGACAGCCTGGAAACTTAGGGAGACCTTGTCTCACAAAACAAAACAAACCACCAACAAAAAGACCTTTCAGCCTTAACCCTGCTACCCACGGACAGGTAACCAGGGAATTCTAGAGAAATTACCAGTGAATTCAAGGAATCTTGGTAGTAATTTTTAGCAAAACACCCTCTGAACTAATTTCCCAAGTTGTGGTCCAGGGCCTCTGACATCAGATTTCTGGGGAGTCCTTGGTATAGATTTAGAATTTAAGGTCTGGACTATAGCAGAGAAGTTAGACTAAGCAGATTGAGACCCAGAAATTCGCGTTTTAACAAGCTTGCCTTGTGAGATGTCACTATAATAAGTTTCAGAATTATTAGACTTGGCCCTTTATTTGACTTTGCTGAAATGGTGCTTGTTTTTCCATCTGGAGCCTTCCCTCAAAACTCAGTACTGTAAGGACAGTCTTTTAAAAAAAAAAAAAAGTGCGCTAAGAAGTTTGGTTTCCAAACAAATGTGCCTTATTTCAAAGTATTGTGAATTTTTTAAAAGACATTATGCCAAAACATTTCTTCCTACTGTATAATACTCTAAGCACATCATGATTGTAAATTCAGTGGATTATGCTGTGTGCTTTCTATTAATCTTGGGCTATTTGTCATTGAGCCAGACATCCCCTGCCCTGTGGATTTTTCTTCCACTACTTCCCTCAGGCCTTGATCAGCACAGCTTTCCTTGGGTAAAATGCAAGCTGAGTCTGTACATGGTGGCTTCCAAACTGAACTGCACCACAGAAGAATATGTGGAGTTTTTAAAATGATTTCCAAAACCACACAGAATCACAGGACTCCCAAAAGTATGTTTGCAGAAATTTTATTTCATAGAGCATCTCACAGGATTAGTGAGCTGTCACAAGTATCATTAGTAACAGCACTGAATTGGGGGCTTGGGATATAGCTCAGTTGGCAGAGTGCTTGTCTTGCATGTACTAAGGCCCTGGGTTCAATCTCCAGCATCACACACACACACACACACACACACACACACACACACACACACACACA